TGTGTCTGCCTCTGTCTGCGTCTCTGTCTCTGTTTGTGCCTGCGCCTGTGTGTGTTTGTCTTCGTGTGTGTGCACTTGTGTATGCATGCGTGTACGTGTGTCAGCTTATGCTGGAACATCCCGTTAGAGTACAACGCGTTCGTGAATCTACAGCGCCAGTGGAGGAAACAATGTGTCTCTCTAGTGTTTCGATCCTGGCTCGCCAATGCGCTCATCTAGGTGTATCGCTCAGTCGCGCTACTTGACGAGCATTGTAATGCCTTTGAGCGTAGCCCGCATTCGTGTCTGCCCGCCAATTGGATCCAACTGCGCGTCGGAGGCGATGCCTGGAACGGTTTCGACACACGTTCGAAGCACGATCGAATGCAAATTTAACTCGCACTTCCCCCTTGCATGCAACCGACCATGAAGTCAACTTCGCGAAAAGGAAACATGTGTGTGCGTGTGCGTGCGCACACGTTGATAGCTTGCTCACTCGCTGAGTGAATCACTCGCTGCGGTGACGTCACCAGGCTGGCGGAGGAACAAGTCTGCGTGCGCACCCACCTGGCCTTAACGGCACTTCTGGGCGCGCCCCCGACTGACTCCGTTGCGTCGCTGCGTGCGTGGCCGCGACGCCGAACAAGAAGCGCGCGCACCCGTCGCCTGCGTTTCGCGCGCCTTCGCCACTTCGCTGCATGGACGCCGCCCCCACAGCGGTTGACACGCCTCTTCCTGCACGCCCGTGGCGGGCTCCCCCGTCCCTCACGCTCTCTGAACGGCCGGCTTCCATCCACAGCGTCGGGTGCAATCAACATCAACGTGGCCCGCTTGTTGCTCATCGGCTTCGCTCGAGCGCGCAAGACGCTGCTATCGCATCGCGTTCGGCGATCGGGGGACCCGTTCGGGCCCCCACCAAAGGCCGCTCATGCGAGAGGTCACTCTTGCGTGTAGCCTTCGGTGGGGCCTGTCCCCCGACAGGGGGATTTTGGGCGAAACAAAAACCCACAAAAAACCCGATTGATGAAACAACTAATCAAAAAATCGTCCCCATACTATTTTTTGACTATTGGGGAATCTCCCCCCTGTAGAGGGACAAGCCCGACTTAAGTGTAGCCGAGTTGCTCGCGGCCGTGGCGTCACGTCGCCCGCGGAGGTAAACGTACGCGCGTGCGTGTGTGTGTGTGTGTGTGCCCTCGCGTGCACATCCACTCGCGACCGTGGTGTCACCTCGCCGCCGGCGGAGGAAGAGTGCGCGCGCGTGTGACATGGGGCTCCTGCTCCCATGTCACACGCGCGCGCACTGTTCCTCCGGGGAGTAGGAAGGAGAAGGATGAGAAGGGGGAGGTAGGAAGGAGGAGGAGGCGGTAGGGAGAAGGAGGTGGCGAGGGGGAGGAAGATGGTTGCGGGAGAGCGAGGGGGAAAAGAAGAGAGGAAGTATGGGAGGGAGGGGGGAGAGAAGAAGGACGGGTGAGGAGAACGAAGGTCGGAGGGGATGTAGGGATGCGGTATGCAGGATGAGAGGAGTATCAGTGAAATACATGTGAAACCAAAGAACGGGGACTGTATGGCAGGATAAGGATGATATGAGCGATAAGGGAACAGGCAACAGGAGTAAGGAGGTGAAGGGGAAGAGGAAGGGAGGGAGGACGGATGAGGATCAGCATCAGCAGCGGTAGCAGAGAGGAGGATGAGAAAAGGATGGGAGATGAAACAGTTGTGGAGAGGGGGGAGGGCCAGGGGATCAGGGGATTGATGTGGAGGACAGGCATTAGCGAAGACCTGGGATAAGATGTGCGGAGGATGAGCACTAGGAGTATCAAGAGTAGGGGAAGGATTGTGTCTATGAGTAGAAGAACAAAGCGTATGTGCAATTTGGCAGGGTTGTGCGGAGAATGTGTGGAACACGTAGGTGGGGGAGGGAATTGCTGGTGGGGGAGGGGACAGTCCAAGGAGGAGGAGGAGAGAACAGGATCAGGGGCAACATCGGCAGCAGGGCGGAGGATGGGAAGGAGAAGGGGTGGACGAGGAGCATGGCAGCCTCCCCCCCCGAAGAGGGCCGACGCGCAGCCGGCTCCGCGACGTGCGGCGGAGGACCGCCAGGCCCACCGGGAACGGCACACGAGACGCCGACGAGAACGCAGCCGCCGCAGGAAGGAAGAGCAGCACGAGCGAGGATGAAGGGGCCCTAGGACACACAAATAAAAGGACACAAATAAAAGGATCCCCCATATTTCCCCATATGTTCTGGGTTTTTGTCTTCCCCCCCACTTCCCATATTTTCCTATCATTTTTGGGGAATCGAGGATTAATTGTGTCTGTGTGTTCTCCCCTCCTGAGAGGAGGGCAGCGAGCGGCGCGCAGCAGGGCAGCGGAGGGGCACGAGGCCAGAGAGGCGGGTGGCACGGCAGGCAGGGCGAGGGGGGGGGGGGGCGGAGAACGAGGGCGAGGGAGCAGATCGAGCAGAGCAGCAGAGGAGAACGGGCGGGGCGAGGCCGGCTGCACAGAGAAGCTCCAGCCGAGCGCCCCGACGCGCAGTGGAGCGACACGAGGGCGCGAGCTCGTGGGTGCGGAGGCCCAAGGACGTCGACTGGCGCACCGAGATCCTGCACGAGCAGACCGCGGAGGGGAGAAGGGAACAGAGAGACAGGAGGACAAGCAGAAGAAGCGCAAAGTGTGCGGTGAACGGGGCAGACACAGCAATCTATCATGTGACGGTTGGGCGGCATCGCACCACGCGCGGACAACCCCAGGGGGGGGCAGCTGGAGGGTAGGCCCCGCGCAGCGGCCGGGGTTGGCCGCCGGCGACTGGCCAGTGGACTTGGTCGGGGTGGACGAGGAGCATGGGAGGAGGAGGAGGAGGAGGAGGAGGAGGAGGAGAAGAGAGGAAGAGGAGAAGAAGGAGGAGGAGGAGGAAGGAGTAGGAGGAGGAGGAGGAGGAGCAGGAGGAGGAGGAGGGCTGGAGTGATGTGAATGGGTCAGGAGGCGGCGGGTGCGAACACGAGAGAAAGAGGCCGCCACCTTCGCCGCGGGTGCCGCCGCTGCCTTCTTCTTCTTGGGGGCGTCGTCGGAGTCGCTATCGTCCGACGACGACGAGTCCTCTCGGGGGACACAGCTCTGGTAGCGCTATGCGGATATGCGGGCGCCATTGGCACATTCCAAGAAAGCGGGCTGGTGATCTCTGCCGACCCAAACGAACCTCGATCGCAGCCAGAGCTCAGCATTGGAGGCCTCCTAGATGGGGTCCGAGTAGATGGGGTCGGAGGATCGCGCCGCATCGCCAATGCATCGGCGATGCATCGGCGATGTATTGGCGATGCATCGCCGACGTGGGCGATGCATCGGCGACGTCGGCGTAAAGCAAGACAGGGCTCAGCATCGAGCCGCATCGGCGATGCGTCGGCGATGCGGCACGATCCTCCGACCCCATCTACTCCGACCCCATCTGGGAGGCCTAGAAGCATACAGGCGCGAGGATCATGACATCCGTCGATGCGTTTTTTGTCAATCTGCAACCCAAGGTACCGACCCCGTCCTTCTGCAGGGGTAGTTCTCCGTTCCGAGATCCATCTGTGGCCGTCCCGGGGCCCAACCCCACGCCCACGAAGGCCGACCCCTTTTGCAACACACCCACGGACTCAACAGAGTCGTCTCGCCGGAGATCTTGAAAGGAGGGCACGGGGGGCCATCGCGGGGCCATCGCCTGGCGACCCGCTCCCCCGCTGCCAAGGAGGAGGAGGAGGAGGAGGAGGAGGAGGAGGAGGGAGGTCCTTTTTTCTCTTCTTCCCCATGGCGGGCCGGCGGGGTCGGGCGCGAGCCCGCGCCCGCGAACGCCAACAGCCAGCGCGCGCGCGGGGGCCCCCGCGGGCCCGGGCGGCGGCGCGCGGCCCTCGAGCGAGCGCAGTGCTGAGGCCCAGAGGAGGGTCGGGGGGAGGGAGCGGGCGATGGCCTCCCCCGCCTCCCCCCAACTCCCCTCCTCCTCCTCCTCCTCCTCTTCCTCCTCCTCCTCCTCCTCCTCCTCCTCCTCCTCATGCTCCTCCTCCTGATCTCCTGCTCCTCCTCCTCCTCCTCCTCCTCATCCTCCTCCTCCTCCTCTCTCCTCCTCCTCTTCATCCTCCTCCCCCTCCTTCTCCTACTTCTCCTCCTTCTGATCCTCCTCCTCATCCTCCCCCTCCTCCTCTTCCTCCCCCCCCCCGCTTCCTCCACGGGTAAGAAAAATCTGGCTTTCGCGTCAGCACTTGGGTCTTCGGCGGCCGTTCAGGCCGACCCGGGGAGCGCCCTCGGCGAGGCGCAGCTGCTGGAGAGCACACAGCGTCGAGAGAGCCTCCAAGAGCCCACGAGAACGAGCGAAACCGTCCAACATCGGAAAGACGCGAGGGGGTCTGACTCGCGTAAGGGGAAAATACAAACCTACCTCGCTTTCGACCACCCTCGCTTCCAAGAGGCACCAAACGAAGCCACACTGCAGCCGGTCCTGGTCCGGCCGCTTCACGAGGAGGCGCGTGGTATGGCTTGGTTTTGCCTGGAAGCGAAAGCGGGGTACTGCAGGTTCGTGCTGTGTCGACCCTGGCGTTGTTTCCTGACACCGCGCTGGATCGTTCAACCTTGAACGATCGGCCGTCTCCGCAACGTCCAATCGTTCAACATCGACCGATTCTGGGCCGCCGGCGGCGTTCAACCTTGAACGCCCGCGCTGGGGTCGCCGCTGGTCGACACGACGCAAACCTACCGTAGGTAGCTCACGCTCTGAATCCCTG